CGACCACCTGACAATGCGTTGTGTCGAGTCTTAAAACTGTTTCAGATGGACTGGGAGAGAACAGAGATTACAACAAAGGTTACGATTTGAAGGCCAGTGATGGGACTCCTAAGCATCTCACCAAAAAAACATTTCTACCTCCAACCCTAGGAAGAAAGGTTCATAACCTTAACTACTGCCAACTCTTGTTCTGTCACAAAGGAGATTAGCACTGCCCTTTCCCTGAGCCCCTTCCCTGAGCCCCTCCCCTGCCGACGCCCCCGGGCCGAGCGGCGCCCGACCCCGAGTTCGAGCGGCCGGAGACGTGCTCGCCCGCCGCTCTCTCATAACCAACGCTGTCTTTTACATTCCTCTGGCGTGTCATTTAGTCATTCCTTCACTAAACTGAGTCTCAAGTTATATAGTTTAGAACCAAGTTGTTGAGGGAACTTGCAATGCGCGAGGAAGGTATTACTCGGACAAACGTAGCTGCATAGTTGTTTCGTGTGGCTCCATGTGCGGGGCATTTCTAGCCGCAGCACTTTTCCAACAGGAACCAACGATTCACTTGCGTCAACGGCCCAGTAAAGAAAAGAAGAAAAAAAAACGCTGGGCATATCAATTTCACTGATTCCAACAATAAACAGCATATCTTTAATCACTAGTTCACTGTCACGTCAACGAGCTCAACTGAACAAAGTTCTACTTGAGCTTCGCATTGGCGGCCAGAACGAACCGTGTCCGCCGCCGGCTGGAGCCCGACTGCCGGCCGCTCGCCGTCCATGCACTTTCCCGCGAAAACGGAGCCGGCGCCGCGACCAACTACTCATTTTTTCCCTTTTACTTTAAATTTAAGAGGCAAATTCTCGTGTTTTTTTTTTAATGGCTTTCTCTTCTTGCATTAAATGACGAATGTAATGCTCAATAGCTGATGACCTTTTCAGTTTTGACGACAATAAATATACTTTGCCCTAACATGACAACCCGACACGTTCGATTCCGGCCGCTCGTCCGTTTTCGCTCAAACAGCCTGATATTCCAGCACCAATTTCCTGCACTTTTGATGACTGAAGCTAAATGTTTCTTCTAAATTCAAAAATCTTTCTAAATTCCTTATATGTTACCTTTCAACAGTAATTCCAACATGATTATATATTCTACACATTAAATCTGAACAGAGATGGATCAAATACAACTGTATTTGAAATGTATTTAAGGACATTTAAAAAGAATTTATAGTTGTTTTTGCATTTTGACATCCGGAAGAGAAAGTACATTATTTGTGCTGTATCTCAAGTTGATACCAGTTGAGTAGGGAAAGCATTAACACGAGAGAGAGAGAGAGAGAGAGAGAGAGAGAGAGGGAGAGAGAGAGAGAGAGAGAGAGAGAGAGGGAGAGAGA